ATGGTTTTATTTTACTTCGTTACAAAAAAGTATTGAACTCTACCTTCGACCTACAGGAGGACTCAATTAGGACCACGTTACTCATATTAACTAAAATGTAAGAGTGTGATAATACTAAACATCTAGCTTTTTAAAACTAGGCACTACACGGTACTAATGATAAAATTATTGAGTGGTTGTTGCTACGAATTATAGGTACCTAGGTATCTTTGCAGGTAACAAACACTAGAAGCTGCTGTTAGGTATGATTTAGTGGCTAAGGACAATGATTGAGGATTATGAACTTAAGTAAATATGAATACGTAAGTAATTAAATATAAGAATCAAATTAAATTGTGTATTGACAACATACAGAAACTTATTTACAGATGATTGTATGAAAGTAAAAACTACATTAGTACGAGTAAGTATTCACTTGAACATTGAAACAGCGACTATCCAACTAAACAACACATTTACAAACATTAACGATGCGAGTGCGGGTGACATGTGTGGTGTGAACTCTACAAACAAAATCAACGTGGAAGCGGTCCCTAGCGGACCGCCGGGGATCATGCGGGCCGGGGCTCGGAGCAGCGGCTAGCGGGCAGGCATTCAACACACGTACGTGGGCGTGCGGCGAGGTGATCGCGCGGCACAGGCAGGCGTGTGCCGCCGGCGGCACCTGGTAGTCCATGTAGTTCCCGTAGCCCATGTGGTCGCACGTGCAGGCGCAGGACTCGATGTGCCGCCGCAGTTCCAGTTCCACCTCCCACGGCGGCTCCATGAGCGCGTCGAGGCGGGCGGCCGCGCGCCGCGGCGAGCCCGCGCCTCCGCGCGCTGCGAATGCGGCCCCGGGCCGGGCGCGGGCCGCACCTGCGCGACGCCACCTGCCGCCCCGTCCCCCGCCCGGCTCGCTCCACCATACAAAGCGGCCGTTAGCGCGGCTCGGCGCCGCCGACGCAGCCCTCGCACTGGCAGCTGGCCCGGGACGCTACGGCCGGTGAGCGGCGACCCGCGGCGCGCGCGGGCTCTCGCGTGGTGGCGCGCATCGTCGCGGCCGGCAGCCGGCAGGGGAATGCCGCGCGCTGAGCCCGGCTGAGCGCGAGGCCCGGGCGGCCCGGCCGCGCCGGCGCCCCGAGCTCCACGTGACAGCCGCGCCCCGCGACGCCCGCACCGGCCGCGCTCGCCTCCTCTCCTAGAGATTGCAAAATCCGGATTTTTCTTAAATCCGGTTTTCCGGATTTGTGTTACGTACAAATCCGGATTATCCGGATTTTTCGAATATTGGGTAATTTTTTGAAACCATCAATTTAATTTAAATAAAACGTAGTTTTTTTCAAAAAGATGTAAGTATTTGAAGAAAAGCTTTTTATTTTATTATCGCGCATGGAATTTATTCCTCTTTTTTTCGGTTTGCGCTACAAGCTTTCGAAATTATTTGAACTTTGCATTATTTTTTTCGTTTTAGTACAACTGCATTTCAGAATAAAAACTTGCTTGTACCTATAAAATATTTTATTTATTCTTCTTCNGGGAATGCCGCGCGCTGAGCCCGGCTGAGCGCGAGGCCCGGGCGGCCCGGCCGCGCCGGCGCCCCGAGCTCCACGTGACAGCCGCGCCCCGCGACGCCCGCACCGGCCGCGCTCGCCTCCTCTCCCGCCGCGCCGGACAACATCTTTCAGATGCACAATCGTCAGCCATCAATTAACTCTTCGACATAGGTACATTAGTCGGAAATTGGATTCGAGATTACGAAGAAAATCCTTTGTGTTCCCGGCGCAGGGAACATCATTAATAACAACAACTCTTACCACGAGCATAATAATAGGGAATTAGATTTAGGTGGATACGTTTGGTAAAAACATTCCGGAAGCAATAAATCAAATAGTTTTGTCCCGAGTCAATGGTGACTAGTTTGTTGGAACCTTAGTTGGAACGAGTACATTGCCGGGTCCCTTTGTCAAAATATGGATCTCTTGAGCTTTGAACTTCTCTCATTCTAACGTTAGGTACCATAAGTTCCTCCAAAGTTATGATAAAGTACGCACATTATGTAAACTCTTCAAAATTCTGTTTCTTTTTTTAAGAGACAGGAAATTCTCCGTTTTATTATTTTAATAATATTATCAATATTAAGAACAATACTTTATGAAAATCTTTATGAAAGTTTAGTATTATTACTTGGGGTTTCTTTCGATTTATTTATTTTCTCTTGCAACTGTAAACAGCAAAGTTTATTTAGTTTTTCCGTTATCTTTATAACCAGTTACTAATAAGTTAAGCAATTTCATTGTTTAGTTTATTAGGATAACGAATATTTAAAATCTCCTCTAGATGGTATAATAATATGTTTGTCTTATAAACAAGCACCCAGAGTTACAACAAGTAATGTGTAAAAAAGTTTCGGTAATATAATATGCACATTTCCTCGAAATATGTAAAAGTTGCGAGAACTGCGCCATGAACTAACACGCGGCGAATGTCTCTCGCATCCGAGTGTAGCCTCCGAGGGCGACGCAGTGCACTATTTGCATATTAATTACTGGACTGCGCAAAACAATGTAGCTCTGTAATGGGTGTAATTCAAACTGGCCAACCTAAATAGCGCGCGGGTTGCAAATGACCCCTAATATAAACAAACATATAAATAGCTTATAATCTTAAATAACTTAATAGTAATTAACTTACTTATTTTTTTACTGAAACATGACAAGTTACAATTTTCTAAAATTAACTTCGTAGAAGTTGTTTATTTATTAGCATTATTTTTAAATTGTGGACTAGTTTTTTAATTATTTCTTTTAGAATTCAAGTACGTAGGTATAAGAAAATATGTCCTATGTCTTAAGCTAAGTAATTTTATCTTAGTTTTGATATACTTCTCATGGGTACATCGTGTTAGATCCGCTATCGTTATAAAACCATAGCTCGTTATACGAGTAGGAATGTTAGGTGTGTAGGTAACGATATTTTTATCAAGTTATTTATGCTTCTAATCCAATTAAGGCAGAAGTTGTATTTATTCGATAACATTGGTTGAAATCACTGTTAACACACTAACGCCCGCCTGCGACTTCGAACGCATAGTCCTCGTTTTACCCCCTTAGGGGTGGAATTTCGTAAAATCCGTTCTTAGCAGATGACTATACAGGGTGGAAACGATAAGTGATCTCACTCGATTATTTCTAAACTATACAAGATAACAAAAAACTAGTTATTGATCCTGAAAGTACTTCATGAGCTCTATCAAATGGTATTAATAATAGGTTACATAATAAAATGGATCTATCCGAAAATTCAATGTTTCCAGCTTCCATACATTTGGTAAAATCACATTATTTTAAAAACTACACATGATATTATCGTAAAACTGATTACTGATTCTAAAAGTGCTTCACTAGCTCTATTCAATGGTATCAATAATAGGTTACAGAATAAACTGGATCTATCCAAAAAATTCGATGTTTCCTTCTTCCATGCATTTAGTACTACCACAGTCATGACACTCATCTCTTGACAATATTATAGCAAGTAAAGCCTAAAACCAATGTTTTCCATGAATTTTACATAATAATACAATTTACGAGTTTATTTTAAGAGTTTATTATTCAATAAAAAAAAATACACTTCTAATATTGTGTGTCTGGCATACATTTAGTATGGAAGCTGGAAACATTGAATTTTCTTACCGTTCACTTAACGTTTCCACCCTGTATACCCTATAAGGAATCTACCTGCCAAATTTCTAGCCTGTAGGTTATTGTTATGTTTCTGAGATTTCGATATTAATCAGTGGTATTTTTGAAAGAAAGAAACAAATATTTATTTGCTATCAAAAAATACAAATCAAAATAATATCGCTTTTATATTTAGATTAGTTATTAAAATATGTAGATTTCTTTAAAGGTAATATTGTAAAAAATCCTCCTATCAATAAGCGTAGATTGAGCCATCTACTCAAGTCCCCGGGGATGAGTGTGTTAACACTTCATTTCACATTAAATACTGTACACGTACGATATTCCATTCACTGTTTATAACAAGCATTTTCTTAGAAAAACAGTAAATTATTATGGTGTTTTTGTAGTAAATACGACATTGGTAAAATGCTCGTAGCATAGCTCTACTACGAAAAAACTGTAGCAATGTTTGTAGCAATGTGTGTAGCAAAGCTACGATTCTAACGTTCGTAGCATAGCTACGAAATTGAATGTTCATTGAAATTAAGACAACTATTTAAAACTACCTACTTGAATTTACTTTTCGTATCATAAATCATATCATAATATAGTTTTTAATTAATTTTAAAAATATATGTATAATTGATTTAATTAAAACGTAAGTAAAATAACAAACTTAGGTACTTATACATTACCTCACACACCATTACGCCTACGTTCGAGAGGCAGGGGTCGTAACGGGCACTTCAGTCTATTTTAGACCCCAAGAGCTTAGTTAGCAAGATGTCGAATTTCAACAGCCGCGTCCGGACAAAGAAAGTGTTCTTTGTTTTTTCCTTTATACTTGAGTGTGCAATTTATATCCATAAATAGTACAATGCATATAATATTTTATACTAAAATAAAATAATTACTAATAAATAATTAAGTTTACTCGGTTTTGTAATACTGACCTAGCAAACCGAGTTCATTGGCACTGGAACAACATCCGTCCGACAAACAGCATGAATCGTCGTAGGTCACAATTTATGACCTAACGAATACGAAATCGATGCAGCTATGGGCATCTAGTACTTACAGGAGTACGCGTGGTGATAAGCGCGCGTGTAAATAATGCGTGAAGACTAGCGTGCTTGCATAACTTAGAGTGCTGTGTTGAAATCAGTAAGTAGGTCCCTATATTTGGACATTTCGTTGACTGTGTTTTGTGTCATTCGATATCGTTACGATTAAGGTTCGATTTGTTGAGTAAATTGGGACACAGGTGGCCTGGAGCAAAGAGGCTGTATGCGCGCGCAGCGGCGGGAGAGCGTGCGAAGCGGGCGCGCGGCAGTCGACATGCGACGCGCGCGGAGCGTCACCGGCCCGCTGCGCCGGGCGCACCCCGCCTCCGGCGCCACCTGGAACGTCCAGGTACACTACGATCACGCAGCTACCACCTCCCTTAATCATCTTCTACCCACAGCCGCCACTTATATCTCCGACCTCCCAATACGAGATGTACTCCTCTCCCAACTACCAAGTTTCTGGTGAACCTGTCAAAACTTGATGGTATTTGTGCAATTCGCGACTGTGACCACCAAACCCAGACTCAACAGTTGGCCGAGAACTTGTTGCGCACGCAACTCACACTCTTGAATATATTAAAACTATTGTCTGATATTGTTGAATACATTGGAACATATTAGTCTTTAAACAATCCATGGAAATAAATGCTTCTGCAAACAGCACCCTCAAAACCTTGTTCTCTTCAACGTTTTGCACGCAGATACGAGATGTAACACAAATCACGATCGATTATTTACATTCAAAACTGAAGAGAGAATTTGTCAATGTTAAAAATAATTTTGGTAAACAACATAAAAAGTAAATATTATGTATTTAATTTGGAATTGTAATCATGCAATTAGTCATTTTTAATTTATTTATAGAAACCAACAGCGATACGTTGAAAATGTTAGCTTTATAAGATTTAGACTGATAGTATAGCCAATGACAGGTTTCCCTCTTTATAAAAGTACATTGTTGTTGGAAAAAATGTTTTATTTTTTATTGTTTCGTAGTTATTTCGTACTTTATAGAAATCTCGTGAAGCACCTCACGTCGATAAAAAGTCTTGAAACGCCCAAAGTTTAGTTTAGTTGCATGGAAAAGGGCAAAGGTTAGACCAACATTGAAATCGAGATTGCGTCTGTGTATTGTGGAATTGTTACGATATTGTGACTAAGGCTGTGTAGCACCATCTTACTTTAATAATAACAAACGTCAAAATTCTGTGAAACTCCATACAAAAAACAACGGTTATGGTTATAGTAAGGTGGTGAAACTCAGCCTTAGTCGTAATGAACCGATTGCAGGTGGTGCGGGGGAAGATGAGCTCGCAGTGCCTGTGGCATGCCTGCCGCGCGCTGTCCGCTGGCTTGCTTCTGATGCTGCTAGGAGCGGCGATGGCAGTGATAGGTACCTAATTATATTCCTCACTAAAAACTTTATTAGTATTCATAATGTATTTTATAATCTCTACACTGTTTGGAGTCGTGACTTTGGTATAAATATTTGATAAGTACTTAGTTTCACTAAATACCTTTTATTCGCGATTTCTTAATCATATTCAAACACAAAAATCCATTCAGGTGCTTAAGTTACATAAAATTATGTTATTATAAGTAATAACATTACCTCTACGCAATGAGTTAATAAAGCACTTTAAAAATAAACCCCTCTAAAAAGATACAAACGAAGGACGACTCATCAAAGTGTTATCTTATAAGTTAGAGTTAGTTTTATGTAAGCACTTTCGAATCTACATAAAGCTTTTAATTTTTTACCACAACTTTATAACTACGTTCTATATTAATTTATGAATAAAAATGAGTTTGGTTGAGTATATTAGATCAGCCCAGTCTCTATTAATTTCACTGAACAGTACCTACCAGCAACTTCCAATAAAACCAATAGTACCTCTTTCTTCTGCTTTACTTTTTTAAGGAACCGGCTAGTGGTCATAAGAACGATTGACCCAACTCAATCTTAAATATTTTTTTATTTTTTTATTTTATAAATAACAAGAAGTTACGAGATAAAAATAACAAAATATCAATAATCGAAAATACAAACAGCGTCAATTTCCATCGCTTCTCTTTCGAATCGTTGTGCACATATAATGGTGTATTTTGGCGTAATAAACTCATACTATATCTTGGCCATACCAGCCATACATAAATACATGTACACGTGTAACAAATACAATAGGGTTGTATGCTTGGTTTAACGTAATAAATTGATGTGCACACATCTTTTGTTTACTTGCTCGTGTATTCACTATAGCCTCATATATATTGTTACTCAGGGATAATGCAGCATTCTGATGATGATATATTTTTTGAGATACATTCAGTAGTTTTTGAGTTTCATCTCTGATCATTGAGTACTGTTTAAAAGATTTTAAGAAGCAAGAAACAACCTAATTAATTTAGGTTTTGATAATACTTGAACAAATGACAACCCTAACACACCTATTTCCCCCACATCTCATGGAGAGCAACGCGATGTGGGTAGTGGGGGAGCACTTCCTGTCAGCGAGCGGTCGTTCCGGAGCTGACACTTCCGGCTTGATGCCTCCGGTCCTGCCTGTTGAACTGATGGGACTCGCTTTGCTACCGGAATAAGTTCTGGTATTGTCAGACATTTCATTATTGGGTGATGCTTCAATACGTTTCTATTTTTAGATTTTTTTTCATTGTATTTGTATCATCGAAGTATCGAATCGAATAAGAAAATACTTTTATGAGCAGGTAGGTATTTATACAAAAACATAACCCTCCTTCTGAAGCAGTCGGGTAAAAACAAGGCAAACCAACGTCCAACTACGAATCTATTAATACCATGTACAAATACCACCAAAATTCCGGTGGTTACGTAACTTCTTAAAATGTACCATAGCTTAGTCATAATCACATACCAAACTAACATAATAATGTTGTTAACTAACATATATTCGTTCGTATTGCGTATTTACGTTACAGTTAAAAACTTTGTCGCTATTTTCACTTTGCAGGGTACTATGCAGACACGCTGTCGGTGGCGCAGGAGATCCGCGGCAACTCCACCATCTCCGTGAAGGATGAGGCGCGCGGGTTCCACCTCAACAACCTGTCCTACGCCGGCCCTATTGTCATGGGGTTTGGAGGTAAAGTGTATCTAATTTATTTATTATATGTTCAATGTATGATAATAGTCTAAGATCCCGCTATAGACGGACCTTTAAACAAGGGTTGTGTCAATAAATGTATATATTGCACATGGGTTGTCCAAAATTTTAAGTCCAGAAACAATAATTTATTAAAAAAAATGTTTTTTACCTTATACTGATTCACAATACCACCGTGTTCGTAATGAAATAAATATTTATATTAATTTAACTTTAATTCAGTAACCAGACCAGTACCTGTTACATAGTATCGATTTACCTTTTTGTACCTGCCTACCCCAGAGTTGTGACGGGAAAAAAATAGTAACTACACTCGTCTCTAAACGGGAGGGGGTTGGTCCTACGAGGGTGGGATAACTACATGACCTATTCGCCTTGGTCCGACAGCATCCAGAATCTAGATGATGGCAGCATAGATTTGCCCTTTTTTGTCGGTTTGAGGTCCCCTACACCTAATGGAGGCTAGAAAATAACAAGTTTTGCTAAATATTTCAGGTTTCATCGTAGTAGCTGCGTGCGTGATGACGTTCGAGGCCCGCGACAGCGCGGCCAAGGTGACGCCCGCGCGGCCGCAGGCGATGCCGCGGCCGGTACCCCGGCGTGGCCCACCTTGCGCGGCGCCTGCACGACTTGATCAACTTGGTAGGTTTCTCTATTCAATCACATGAAAATCGTGGTTTGCAGTTGGCATAATATGGTCCTGCAAAAAACAAAACCTACAAAGCAGAGTAACTAAGAAATATTTTTGTTTTTCTTTAATTCAAATAGAACTTTTGTAAACAAACCTAACATTTCGAAACCCCAAACAAGTTCAGCAAACATACATTTTTGAAAACCTCTTGCAGAAAATCTAACTTCCTGAAAACTGCACTATTCGAAAATTTAGTTTTTGGACCGATTCTAAATACTAACCCTCTATAAAAAGTTACACGCTTGTTGAATACTGTATTAAAGATATTTTCATATTTAACGTCACTTTTAAAACACTGTTCAACGAGTGTTTAATTTTTATTAGTAAGGGTATAAAAACCTAACCTCGGACATCTAACTTATCCTTAACAACACTCTCAAATCCCAGTACCTACTATTTAAAACGAAAACCTAACTTTCTCTCTACTATTTAAAACGAAAATCTCAACATAGGTTTTCGCAGAGGTTAGGCTAAGTTAGGTTTTCAAAATGTTCTAGGTTTGGTTAAAGTTGGGTATGGGTAGGTTTTAAGTAAGTTATTTTCGGAGAGATAAGTTTCTCAAAAATTTCGGAGTTACCTAAATAAAGTTGGGGTTCTGAAAAGTTAAGATTTCAGAGAGTTGTATTTCCGAAAAGTTAGGGGTATGTTCGGTTTTGGAAAAGATAGGTTTTCAGAAGTATGTTTTTGAAAAATTACGTTAGGTCAGGACTTTGAATATTTTTAGGTTCGGTTACAAGTTAGGTTTCCATAACAACACCTGAAAACCTATTTTATGGAAAACCCAACCCAATTTTCGCAAAAACTTAATCTAATCCTTGTAATCTACCACTGTTCGTTTATTTATTTATTAGGTCTACCAACATTGTTACATTACAACATGTACACTTAAAAATTACAATTATGAACAAAGTTACAATGCAACAACAATTATAGGCTGACACAACATGCAATATAGATTCAATGCAGTTTGTTCCGAACCGTTCCGTTTGCAGGAGTATATCGGCTGCCGCACGTTCTACCACTCCCGCACGCGCTGCCGCTGGCGCCGCTGCACAGGCACCGCGCGCCGCACGCCTCCAGGTACCTGCCGCGGCCGACAGCCTCCATCGCGAGCAAACTTCACGCTGTACGGTATTTGACGCCATTTAATGACCCAATGAAAAACATTTTACAAATCATTATAAACAACATTTACGTTACTGGCTCAAAATAGGAAGCCTCTGATTGTTTTTAAATTAAGATCATTTTGAAGATCACAGAATCGGTTCATTTTGGACTTTAATTAGGTAAATCACATTATTACGTCATAATAATACTTGCATAATAATTGTTATTAATAATATTAATCGATAGTTAAATGTGAATGGCGTCAACTACAACTGTATTTAGAAATAAAAGCTTGTTAAAATGCTGTTTTCTCGCGATAGAGTCGTTGTTCTGTTGTACTTAAAATACCATTGAGAAGTAGATGTAGTTATGCAGATCCTCCTGCTTACTTGTAGTAATCCATGTTCATGTGTAATTCGAGTTAAAATCACCGACATGGTATTTAAAAATTAACCAATTTATCAATCGAAATCGTGGTAACATCATTGAGTCGTAAGGATCAGGACGGCAGCTCGCAGTCCTCCTTTGGCGCCGATAGGCTTTGAGTGTGTGTGGCACAGAACCAGCGATGACAGAGCCAAGAGCCGCGCGCGGTTCGGGTCTGCGCCGGACTTGCGCGCGGGAAGCGCCCGCGCAGCGCTGCCGGCGAGCGCGCTACGCCGCCCACTGCGCCGCTACGCGCTCTCCGTAGACGAGCCGCCGCAGTCCGCCGTCAGGTAACTCTACCGCTATCCATATATCATCGAGTCATTCTCACCTGCTTTCAAACCCCGTTATTAGTTAGCGCCGTTGCGTACTTGTCCTATAAAAGTATTAACTGCCCTAGTAAATACAGAATTAGAACCAAAAAAATGTATAGTGTCAGACTTGTCCATGAGTAAAGCAAAATGAAAATTTAAGCAATTAGCGTGTTGGACATAGATCATTACAAAATGTATTGGCTCGCAGCGCTAGCGCAGCGGAGTCGGAGTGCGGGTCGCAGTCGTCGCTGGCGCTGGACCTGCACGGCAGCGGCGCGTGCGCCGGCGTGACGCTGCGCGTGCGCGACAACACGCGACGCCGCCCGCTCGCTCGTCAGCAGCGACTAAGGGAGGACACGCTGCATCGTAAGTACTATTTTCTGTAAATATGTACCTATATTTATTTATTTATATATTTATTTATTTTATGGAAAACAAACAGCATATATGCATTATTAATAGATGAGGCGGTTAAGATCAAAAATGCCTTACATAGTTTTCACAAATAGCATATCAAGATACAATCCAAAACAAAACCATTTAGCATGCAGTATAACTACAATATATGAAAAAAGTTAAAACAATACAGAAAATACCTACTAAAGCCATACCAAAATAGCAGAATATTAAGCAGTAAACAGATACTTCAACTTTTTACCGGCCAAAGAATTCCTTATTACTTTGATTTTTGAAGTAGTTTGGTCTCACACGTTACATGTTTCCTACCTAATGTGAGATAAGTTCTGGTCCGCTTTTGATCCTATATCAGACACGCAAATATTTGCAATAGATACGATTAAATACCACTTGTATGTAATAACTTTTATATCTGAGCTGAGACCATTTACCACTACTGGGATACCATTATCTGCTAAGCTCGTAGCTGCTAGTGCCACGAATAATTGCTACGGTTTACTACGGCACTACGAACCGTATGCTACGATCTACGTTATCTGTAGCGTAGTAGCTGACGCCGCCGTAGTATTGCGATGTATCTGTGCTACGAATAATTGCTACGGTTTGCTACGGCAGTATGAACCGTATGCTACAATCTGCGTTATTTGTAGCTTTGTAGCAGATTCCGTCGCGTCGTAGTATAGCGATGTGCTAGTGCTACGAATAATTGCTACGGTTTTTAGTGCACTACGAACCGTTTGCTACGATCAACGTTATCTGTAGCGTAGCATCGTAGGGCGTTGGCATCAAAAAAGCTTCGTAGCATTATTGCTCTAACGTACAAACGTTACTTTGACATTGTTACAAAATATTTTAATAACGTGACTCTTGTAGTGACTGTGTGAGAGTTGCTTTACTCTTATGTAATAGGTACCTACTTACCGTGCCCATCCCATATGGCCATCATTGAACAATTATTGTGTTCAATGATGAGATGTATTTTGTATGATCACGTGAATGTTGTCTTTTCAGCAACACCTGGCGAAAGCATAAACAACATACATAATCCGGACGACTCCACAGTCAGGTAAGTTTAATTAAACAAATCGAAAATACCATTTCAAATAAATATATAATTACTAGTAAAATTGTTTTAGAAACTACAATAATGAGGCAGCTAACAAAGATTCCGTGGAGATGGTTCACCTGTCGTCCGATAGGAGCGACAGTGAATTGCGCGCGAGTAGCGCCCCGCCGGCGCCCGCGCTGTGCTCGCCGCCGCCCTCGCCGCGCCTCGTGGTCACGCCCTGCGCGCTGCCCGCCACGCCTCCCTCCGCGGACACCTGCATACTCATAGAGCAGCCCGAGGCAGAAGCCAGCGACGAGCCGCCGCCGGCCGTCTGAGACCTGCCTCCGTCTCGGCTTCCCGAGACCGTACCCACCTCCCCCGACGAACCTTGTTGATAATTTTGTACCAGTATACAAAGTTTTTAAATTCTTTATAGTATGTTCCTGTGAACTAAACGTTTACAGAGGAACTTTTCGATGTGTCTTCGAAAAACGACGACAATTATCTATTTTTTAGACCCACTGTTGTATGTAATATAGTTGGTTACGTATGTTTATAAATTAGATAGAGTTGCGTGGCGAAATTCACTGAATTTTATACATAATAACTTATATTTGGAGCCAAGTTCAGTATTTGACGCCACGCTCTAATTCGATGTGTAGTAGCCGTCACCCCTAGTTGTAAAAAAACTGAGTTTCAATAAAAGCTAAAACAAATTAAAAAATAAGTACATAATGTGCAAAATACTTATATCTATCTATATGATAAGGTTAAAGTACCTACACTTTACATTGAACAACGACAACTTTGAGGTATGTACGTACAAGTATCAAAGCGCTAAATTGTCTTGTTTCTTACCGAAATGAAATCGAATAAGAGTGGTTATCGAGCTAATATTGTAGTAGGTAATCATATATTCAGTTTAAATTAGCCAGAATACATTTTAGCGTCTATTAAAATCACTACACTATTAAATATTGCGACGCGACGGCGCGAATCGTATCGTGCATCTGTCAGGTTGAGACGAGTCATAGCGCCGCATGGAGCGCTCTGCTTTGAAAAAGCTCGTGAAATTGCCGTAGAAGCCATAAAAATGTACAGCTCTCCAGTTGTTTACAATACAACATAATTAATTAAATTTCTGAATTATTTGTAATTAATGTGGAAATTATTCATTTCTATTTAAATAAGCAATTTATTATAGGATAAGCCTATTATGAATATCATGTGACTAAAACTTTTTCTAAATAACCCGTTGTTGATATAAAAAAGACTGATAAAAGCGAATTTTGTAAAAAAAAACCGCTTAATGCTAATTATTATGACGTAAACATTAATTAAAAACACATTAAATAAAATCACCTTAATACCAAAGCTTCTTCATGCAAAATACATTAATAAGGGAGAGTCCGGTAATTTGGACCACTTTTTTTCAATCCTGTTTTACACATAGTTTTGTTGTTTTTGCTAATGTCCATGGTATACAGTGTGAGTCACGTTAAAGTGTACATATGAAAATTGATGAAACTAGACCTATTTTTATCGACAAAAAAGAGGTCAAAATTTTTTTGAGATTTTTTTTTAAATTTTTTATAGAATTTTTTTTCTTCCAATTACTTATTGTAAAGAAAAGGTAATAACTTTTAAACTAAGCGGTATAACCTGATAAAATAAAAACAGTATTAATGCTAAATAACAGCCAATACTAAAAAAATACATAAAATACACAAAAAAAGGCCAACAAATAATAAAAAATAATACTTTTTGAAAAAAATTTGCTTTTAAATTCGTGTTTTTTGGTTATTTGATAAATTTCTCCAAAAAATGCCCCTATAACCGGTGATTTTTATTACTTTGTATTATTCTCTATCGTATAACCTTCGTAAATCCAAAAATCGCATGTCTCTATCCCGATCACAACGTTTGCAATGATCGTTTGAACTAAGCCTCTCCGAGCGCGCCATTCAACGCTTCGTTAACAACAAAACTGAAAATAGCTCTAGATTTGTAATTTTGATAAAGACAAGTTAGATTTCAAATAAAAACAAAAGATTTCGAAGTAAAATAAGCATTTTAGTTAAAATTAAAATTGTCTCTACCTGTAGCGGAGAATAATGTTGTGGCAGGCCTTTGTTCAAACGATCATAGCAAATGTTGTGATAGGGATAGAGACATGCGATTTTTGGTTTTACAAAGATAATACGATAGAGAATAATACAAAGTAATAAAAACCACCTGTTATAGGGACATTTTTTGGAGAAATTTGTCAAATAACCAAAAAAACACGAATTTTTAAGCAGATTTTTTTCAAAAATATCGTTTTTTATTATTTTTTGGCATTTTTTGTGTATTTTATGTATTTTTTTAGCATCGCCTGTTATTTAGCATTATTACTGTTTTTATTTTATCAGGATATACCGCTTAGTTTAAANGTAAGTGTTTAAATATGTGTGACTGAAAGAATGTATATATTAATATTTATAGTATATATTTATTTATGATGTAACGTAGCTATAATATAATGTGGGGGAAGGCCACATCACTCCCCCCCAGAGCCCTAGTTAGGGGCGATAATAGTCAGGGAACCGGACATGTCGTCCGTATCGTGTTACTCTTGGCGTTGAGACAACAGGGGTAGTCGTTACCTCGGGATTATCTTCTGTTGTATCTTTTGGTGTTGGTAACGGCGATATAGTGGTGTCGCCTGATGGGTCCTCGGCTAGTACGTAGGCTGGTTTTAGGCGGTCCTGGGTGACGGTGACAGGTTTACCCTTTACGAGGAGTTTAAACACCTTATCCCCTCTCTCCAGGACCTTGTGAGGGCCTGTGTATGCGGGTTGGAATGGCGCGCGTGTGGCGTCTTCACGAAGGAAGACGTGTTCTGTGGTGGCAAGCTCCCTAAAAATAAATACTCTATGCTTAGCATGACGAGAGGCTGGAGCTGGTCGAAGATTTTCAGCAAATGATCGTACGCGAGCAGAGAAGTCAGACATGTCTGATGTACCTTGCTGGCCTGGATCGAAAAATTCTCCAGGGAGTCTCAACGGCTCGCCGTAGAGCAGCTCGGCTGACGACGTTTGTAAGTCCTCCTTAAAGGCACTTCGTATCCCCAAGAGCACAAATGGAAGAACTTCAGACCAATTGCAGTCAGCATGACATGTAATAGATGCCTTTAGCTGTCTGTGGAACCTTTCTATGAGCCCATTGCAAGCTGGATGGTAGGCTGTGGTACGCCTGTGTCGAAATCCAGCGGTTTTTGATAGGTATTGAAACAGTGCGGACTCGAATTGACGGCCGCGGTCTGTGACAATATCGGTCGGGCAGCCAAATCTGGATATCCAACCTGCAATGAGAGCTTTTGCGACGGTTTCTGCAGTGATGTCAGGTATAGGAATGACTTCTGGCCACCGTGTGAATCGGTCTATAGCCGTCAGACAGTACCTGAATCCTTGTGAGGTGGGGAGCGGACCAATCAAGTCGATGTGGACGAATTTGAAGCGTGCCCGGGGTAATTCGAAAGTGCCCAATGGAGCGGACACGTGTCGACTCACCTTGGCTCGCTGGCATGATAGGCACGTTCGGGCCCACTCCCGGCAGTCTTTTCTCATTCCAGGCCATACAAATCTATCAGCTACCATTTTGGCGGTCGCAGCGGCACCTGGATGACTCAGTGAGTGTAAACTATGGAATACTTGCTTCCTGAAGTTTTTAGTAACAAACGGTCTGGGAGTCGGTGTGCTGATATCACAGTACAGTAATGTCTGACTTCCAGCGTGTTTAATTTTTTTGAGACGGAGAGATGAGCTGGTATCCGTGAGATATTTATTGAGCTCAGCATCAGTTTCCTGCGCATGGGCTAGATCGTTTAAGCTAATTGGGGCTGTCAGTTCATCAACTCGAGATAAGGTGTCCGCCACGACGTTATTTTTGCCGGAAATATGCCTTATGTCGGTTGTGAATTGTGAAATGTAGTCTAAATGGCGGAACTGCCTGGGCGAGCAATTGAGCTTTCGCTCGTGGAAGGCGTAGCAGAGAGGCTTATGATCGGTGTAGACCGAAAAGTGCCTGGCTTCGAGCATATGCCTGAAATACTTTATGGCTTCGTAAATCGCCAGGAGTTCGCGATCATACGGTGAGTACTTCTGTTGGCAAGGACTAAGTTTACGGGAAAAATAAGCTAGCGGTTCCCACGCATCGTCTCGCAATTGTTGCAAGACGGCCCCGATTGCTGTGTCTGATGCATCTGTAACCAATGCAAGCTTCGCGCGGCAGTCTGGGTGTGCCAGCAAAGCTGCATTAGAGAGACTTTCTTTTGTGTCTGAGAAAGCCTTTAGAGCATCGCCTTCTAGGGTAATCGGTGTGGAGCCTTTGACCGCTCCCATCAAAAGGGCGTTGAGGGGTGCTTGAGTTTGGGCGGCGTTAGGTACGAATCGCCTATAAAAATTGGCCATACCTAGGAATCGTCTAAGCGACCTGACGTCCTTGGGTGGGGGAAAGTCGCGTATGGCTTGTACTTTTTCGTCAAGTGCTTTGGTTCCGCTCTCCGAAATACGATAACCCAGGAAGGTTACCTCGGGAGCTCCAAAGACGCACTTGGAGACATTTATTACCATGCCATATTCTCGTAAACGTGTAAATACCTGACGTAGGTGGTCCTCGTGCTGGGCTTTATGTCTGCTAAACACTAGGAAATCGTCCAAATAACAGTAGACGAAGTCTAGTCCGCGCATCATCTCATCTACAAACCGTTGGAATGTTTGGCCTGCGTTTCGCAGACCAAACGTCATAAAGGGAAATTCAAACATACCGAAGGGGGTGGTGATTGCTGTCTTCGGTATGTCCTCCGCGCAGACAGGTATCTGATTGTAGGCTTTCACTAAATCTAGGGTGCTGAAAATAGTACAACCAGAGATATTGTGAGCGAAGTCATGAATATGACGTATAGGATACCTGTCTGGGATGGTTCGGGCGTTGAGCTGCCTGTAGTCACCGCAGGGTCGCCAGCCGTTATTTTTCTTTGGCGCTAGGTGGAGCGGTGAAGACCATGCACTATCTGAAGGCCGAGTTGTACCATCTGCTAACATGGCTTCGAACTCTTGCTTTGCTATAGCTAATTTGTCTGGAGCTAGTCGCCTGGGAGGAATGTGGACTGGGGGACCTGGTGTTGTGCGGATGTGGTGTTGCGTGTTGTGTGGTACCGTACGCAGTGTGCCAGCTGGTCGCGTTATTTCTGGAAATTCCCGAGTTAATATGTGATGATACTGAGAATCGCCGGTCAGAATCTTTACCGATAAAATATTATTGTTATTCTTAGCCAGTGAAGCTGGAGTTGACA